GAAAATAAACCTGTTAAGAAGCTTAAGTGGCCACTTGAGAGGCGTCATGGCTCCTTCCGTTAGTACCTTCCATGGTATGAGATGCCGACAAGGTGCCAATGAAATTGAACACCTCCACGTTCACAGACATGCATACAGAGCTAGATTTCAGAGTGCAACTTTAAAGGGCGATGGTTGTCGCTCCATGTCCTGTTGAGTGATTATATACCCTATATGTTATTGAAAATATGTTTTTGAAATTCAGTCTCTCACCCCCTTGGCTATTATCGTCACGGTACAATTTGAATCAACTATAAAGGCATTGTCATTGGTCAAGTTTTCAATTTATAAAATGTTAAATAGATTTCACTAGCTTTAAAAGTGGTTTGGTAATGCCCCATTACCCATGCAAAATGTTAAATTTTAAAAATTATTAATTTATTTTAGGATAGTTTAGAAAATAAATTACACTTACAATTCTACAGCATGTGATGAAAATAAAAGCCGGTCATTGAATGCAAATACATGTATTTGCACACCACAGAATGTTTTGGTTGACTTTTTGGGCTATTATCTCTCATCAAATTATTACTACTAGCAGAAAAAAGATGTATAATAATAAGGTACAAGAAAATACCGCAAAATATGCACTCAGGCAGTACAGTGGTCACGTTATCCTCTGCTACATGTTGGTATTCTCATTATAATTCTAATATACTACTGTATATACTGGAATTATGGAATGTTTTAGTTTATTATTTATATTGAAATCTGACTGGTGGTTTTGGTTTCTGTAAAAACATCCATGACATGCTGTTTGAATGGCAGTTCGACTGCTGGTATCAATGATGCTTTCAAACAGTCTCCTCTTCCAGTTTATAAATCTGGCCTATATACCCAGTGTTTCATGAAGGCATTTATAAAATATTTATGAATGTTATTAAATTTAAAATAGCAATAGAAAATAACTTGACCAATCACAATCCTTAGTGGATAAATTCTGCCCATATAGAACTCCACTGCAGTTAACCTTTAACCTTTGCACCACCAGACTTTCTGACCCAAATTCCTGCATTTTTTTTCTTATACTGTAAAATGACTAATTTTCACTGGGTTTAAATTTCCCTGATTTATCATTTCAGGCATATTCAGTGGGTTTTAAATTCACGGTTTTATCATTTAGATAATGTGTTCTATGCTAAATTTTACATATTCACTGGGTTTTAATTTAGCGCATTTTTTAGTCAGTGAAATAAGCTAAATTAAAACCCCCTTTACAGTATTCTTCAATATTTTCTGAAATGAACCATAATTTTAGAGCCAACAGAATCAATTATAGTCAATTTTCAGTGGTTTTAGTGAAGGCGTTTTTCCAAAATTTACGGTTTATAAACATGAAACAAATATAAATTTGAAAACTGCTGCTTACCAATTAGAATGATCACCTCAACGTCACCGTGACCCAGCCTGCTCAACGTCACCGTGACCCAGCCTGCTCAACGTCACCGTGACCCAGCCTGCTCAACGTCACCGTGACCCAGCCTGCTCAACGTCACCGTGACCCAGCCTGCTCAACGTCACCGTGACCCAGCCTGCTCAACGTCACCGTGACCCAGCCTGTTCAACGTCACCGTGACCCAGCCCGCTCAACGTCACCGTGACCCAGCCCGCGCATGTAATTTTTGCTGATTAGACTTTTTGGGTGTTTTCTATGAAATTTATTTTCACTGATTTTTGACGAGTTGAATGTGAAATATAGGGAAAAAGGTATACTCGATGAATTTTATTTTCACTGAATTATTCCTACAGCGATAATTAATTCCAAGCAAAAATAAAGTATTCCACAGTATTTCAATATATAACATATACTGTGGAATACTTTATTTTCGCTGGAATTACTTTTCGCTGGAAAGGCTTTTGGGGCATTTTGTATGGAATTTATTTTCACTCATTTTTAGCTCCGCTGTCGACTTTGTCGAGCGGAGCTTATCATATGAGTGATTGTCCGTCGTCGTCCGTGTCAATGTTTTACTTTTTCGACTTCTTCTTGAAAACTACAAGCCTGAATGCTTTGATACTTGGTGTATATGTACCTTGGGTAGACCTCTCTTAGGTTTGTTCATTTCATGTTGATATCTTCAATTCTCTAATTTTGGTGAATATTTTTGTCATTTTTGGTAAAAAGTGATATTTTCGACTTCTTGTTAAAAACCGCAAGGGCAAATGCTTTGATATTATATATATAGGTACTACATGTGGACCTCTCTCAGATTTGTTCATTTTGTAATGATATCTTTAATTCTCTAATTTTGGTGAATATTTTTGTCATTTTTGGTAAAAGTGATATTTTCGACTTCTTGTTGAAAACTGCAAGTCCAATTGCTTTGATATTACATATATAGGTACT